ACGCCCGTCCTAGGATCCTCCCTGGTTTGATCTGCAACACCTCATAACACCTGAACCGTAGACACTCCTCTGGTCCTCGCCGGTCTTACTGGTGTCAGATTACCAGGCGAAGTTATGAGAAGAAGTGATGACATTTATCAACGATAGCAGCCCGACGCGAAGTACCGTATTTGTGGTGTCAAGCCCCAGAAGGGGGAGAATTGACTATGAGAAGGGACACGGATCAGATAAATTTGTAGAGAGTCAAGCAAAGCGCCCGGGGAAAAGAGCCCAGAGCAAGTACCCGCGCGCTCTCCCGAGATTCGGTTCGTACGCCGTGAGGCAGGAAGAACCATGGGCGGTGGTGGTATCAGATTACGAAGTAGAGCATCTCGCGGATGACCTTGCGCAGGTTGTTCCCGTGGTTAGGCTTCTCGAGCGACTCTATCTGCGAATATTTCATTGTTTTTGAGCTGAGCATTTGTGGTGTGGTTGCAGACGAGCTGTGGGCCGGCGGTGTCGGCGGCGCCGCGCGTGGGGCTGGTGTACGTGAACGCGGAGCGCGTGCTGGCGCGCTGTGCGTGGGCCGCGCCCGCGCCCGCCGCGCTGCTGCTCGACTGCGGCGGCCTGGCGCTGCTGGACTACGCCGCCGAGCAGGTACCCTGTTTCCCAGTGCTCCCTCCTTCCCTGAAACTAGGGCCCTGCGATAAACTAAACTGAAACTCATTTAATTTTGCAAATAGGCTTTTAAAAATCACTTTTACACGTCCCAGTATTAACCCTACCACTGCTTCAGGACAATAAATGATTGGCCCATTTGGCTGAGAAGAAACAGCGCAAGAAACTCAGTCACTATTGACAGCTTGCCGCAGTTGCCCCTCGTTATCATTTCATTATTATTATCATTATCATTTCAGCTGTAGGACGTCCACTGCTGAACATAGGCCTCCCTCGATGCCTTTCATATTGTCTGGTTGGTAGCAGCCTGCATCCAGCGCCTTCCTGATACCTTTATATTCCTACCTTTATGATATTTTCGGTCCTCCTTGTGAGTGGACGTCTCATCGTTCGTCATCGTTGCTGTCCCATCGGCTGTCATTTCTGCGTACTATATGCCCTGCCCGTTGCCACTTCAGCTGGCTAATCAGCCATGTCAGCGACTTCAGTTAGTTTACGGATCGCCTCATTTCCGATTCGATCTCTCTCCCCAGGCCCTGGAGCGCCTGGCGAAGAAGTTCAAGGACGCCGACCGGCTGTTCGTCCCGTTCAACGCGTCGCCCGACATCGCGCGGCGCCTGCAGCAGCTGGAGCACATAGAGACGCGCGCGCTCACCGTCGCCCACGCGCCCGCCGCGCTCGCCGCCTGCTGCCCCGCCGCCGCCGCCGCCGCCGCCGCCGAACCCGCCGAAACCAGCGTGCTGCTGGAGACGGAGTCGCCGGAGTGCGACCTGGCTGCTGAGGACCAGTCGAACATCATCACTGAAAAGCGATAACACCTGACGGCTGAACCCGATGTTTGGGCACGGTAATAATATCATACAGTATTGTAACTTCATATAAACCGACGAAACGCGAGCTTTCCTTCGAATTTCAAATCACGGGACGAGGTCAAGATCCAAAAGTTAGGGGTGTCGCAAATGTGCCGAACGTACGTCGATGGCCTAGTGTTGAAAATGACTAAGGTGATTGAATTTGACTGACCGTCTTAAACGGTCAAATTTGTCAATAACTAGTCATTAACTGTCAGAAATGGTCATTTTCAGTCAGTTTGATTTGAAATGAAATTATATTGTATAAAACCAGCTTTGGCCCACGACTTCGCCCGCCTGAAATTAAAGTAACAGGTCATTATGTACTCATTATGATTAGTAGATTAAAAATTATTTTAGTATATTTTTTTAAATTAAATCTACTAATCACAAAACAACACGCATTTTCATCCTATTCCTTTCACAAAGTATTTTGTTTGTCTAAATAAAAAAAAAATGCAATCACAAAACTAGATACAAATTCTAAGTAGACAGAATGGGTACTACCTATTGTAGGTGAGCACTTGAGCAGCCCTACCGCATGTTGTCATACCGTGACGTACCGCGGGGCTGTTGACATTTATTTCAAAAATATGGCCGAGTTGGAATACTGTATAGATAGTATTACCGTGGTTTGGGTTCAAACATTTTTAAATCCCCACACTTTGTGCTCGAATAATTGTTAAAAAGTTGTGGTTTACTCTAACTCTTGATGCTTACCGATAAGTTTAAAAAAATTAAGGTGATGTAAATTGAGGGTTGCTTGCAGCTCAAAAACTTAAGAAGTATGTAGTACAATGTAATGTAAGAATAGTTTAGGTATATTCGACTAGTCGCATTTTATGGACTTTAATGTTACGGTCTTAAACCCAAGGTATATAAAACTGGTGATATTTGCAACTAATTAATTACTTCTCTTTAATGTAATATTGTTTCAAAATACTATTTTCTGGTTTTAATATTCAAATACTGTTTCTTTGCAATACACCGTACAGATGTTCGTCTCGGCTGCCTGTACCTAACATTTGTGTGACATACAATAAATGTTAAACACGAGAAAAGGGGCCCACCACGATGTCTCCTTCTCATAGTTGATATCCTACTTACTGTATTTAGTTCATAATAATAATAGCAATAGACAAACATCTATGAAGAAATTAAATAAGTGTTAATCGACATTTGTTAAGAATTGCCAACCTGAGTAAGTAAGTAAGCCTATAAGTGCTTGAAAAGAAAAAAGGATAGTTTAAGAAACCTAAAAGGCAATGTAAATAATAAATAAATACTACTTATTTAATATGTAATATGATTTTGTAAATAAAGAAAGATTATTAATAAAATCAACATTTTATTTTCGCAAATTAATAACTAGGCTGAGTCGTGAAAAAATATAATTACTGTTACTGACTGACTAATATCACAGATAACATAATACTAGAACTAAGTACTAATATTAATCCAATTATAATGTAGATAATATTGAAAAATCATTACAAGTAAAAAACTTATTGACACATCAGATAATGGCTTTTCACTCCCTGTATTTTGGCAATTTCCAATCGTTTTAATGTAATTCAAATCAGATCAAATCCTCTTTGATTTAATATAACATGCTTGTATTGTTGTTATAAAAAAGCTGATACAAAATTAACCCTTATTCAAATGCGAGCTGGTATGCATTTTTTTTACAAAGTTGAAGTGGATTTTGGGTAATTGTGGGTCACTTATTTCATATTTTTGATCAAAATTTATAAAAAAATAGGGGAAGGGGTAGTTTTTGGGTGGTAAATAATTTACCATTATCCATTCATGACTACAAATTATCCAATGTTGGTGGTAAAATAGTTACCATTGTCCGTTTTGGTTTATTTTTGGTTCTTGACTAGTGACTTCCTCTAGGTTCTACCTATATTTTATTAAATATTTTGGGAATGAAATAAATTTATTATTTTTATAAAACAATATATTTATTAATATTAGTTATTATGCTTACAATTATTATGCTTACCTTGAGTCTGACACTAACAATTCACTAATTACGTAAAGTCAAAACGTTACGTAAACAGTTATCAAAATAACTTAAAATTTCTCCAAATATTTATTTAGTTTTATTTGTTCACATACAAAAAACAACAGTTTTTTTATATATCAACAAACTTTTGTCAAGACGGGATCGGACAATGGTAAACTATTTACCACTTCTTTAAAATGTCTAAATTATATGAATAAATCAATTGCAGACACTGCCTATAAGTGAGATTATACAATAAATCTTATAGTTTAGGAATTTGAATCGAAAAAACACTTATCAGAATTTTCGTTGAACAAAGTTTCAAAAATACCAAAAATGCGCGCTAAAAACATGAAAATTTTCACACCAAAACCGTTTGGTTGACTTTGACATTACCTGACAGTGACAAATGACGTTGAAAAGTAGTAATATGGCATAGATAAGTTAAAAAATATATTCAAAAATATAAATAAGTGACCACGATATCTTTAAGTATTACCATATCGAAAATTAGGATCCTTTTTTAAAAGTAAACAAAGTGGTAATATATCTACCTTTATTTGAATAAGGGTTAATAAATCAAAATCATCCGTCGAAATCTTTTTATGTCGCAATAGTGCCATCTGTTGAAAATCGCACAAGACTATGAATGAATGATGAATTCAGAATGAATGAATGGCTTAAGTGTTTCATTTTTTTATTACAAAATTATATTGCCACTAAAAACTTTTCTCTCTTTATTGGGAATTTTAACTTTATTTAATTCTCATAAAGCTCCTGGACAGACATTGTTATCTCCGTCTAAAAATGGAACAAATCATATTATAATAATGATTTATGTTCGAAAATACATTTATTGATATGGAAATTTTACTCATTTTTTAAAAAACATTCAGTGGCTCAAGCACGAAAATATTATTAACGCAAAGCAGATAAAAATTGTTTGTATTTTGTCATGACAATATTTAAAGTGATATTGTTGCTGTAAAATGTACGATTGAAGCCCTATAATTAATTTTATTGCTTATTATTATTTTAAATCTAGGCTTTAACTCACTTAAAATCCGGTGCGAACACTCCGAACTGCTATGACAGCTAATAGGTATTTAGGTTCTCTTAATACTTACAAAAAAATGTCGATCAGGCAAATCACAATTTTATTAAAGCGTTAAACTCACATGTAACTTTTGTACGGTTTTTATTGGCATTATTTTTGAATATGTTACCTTTCTAGAGCATATTTAATTGTATTAGAACAATGATTAAAACATGCTTTGGAAACTAAGCTTTTATCGTACAAACGTACAATATCATATAAATGCTCTATTCTATTATTGTTTATCCGCCTTTTGCTTATTCCATTTTTTCATTCGTTTTGTTAAAAATAGGGTAAAAAACGAAATTATATGGCAACATTTTCTGACCGAATGGTAAAATGGTGGGGCAACTGTGAATCCGGTCGGTCGTTGACACAACACAATTCGATCAATCATTCACGTCGGATCCGCGGATGGCGGCTCGTTGCCGTTTTATTTTTGTAACAAAGAACTATTGAAAACATGAAAATCTTGACTTAAAACTAAGATAGGTTAAGTGAAGTTTATTTCATTAGTGCACTAACAGTTAATTCTAGCGACCGATCGTGCAGTATTCCACTCATTTCCTTCGGGTCGAATTCGTTATCGACCTCGTTCGCAAGTGTTTATGTTTAGTAAACGGGTACTCGGCGTTTGTTTTGCAAACAAATAGTTTACCCTCCGAATCATAAATAGTGGGTGCAGTTCTCGCGGTCAAGTTCGTGATGTGGTTGTCGTTTTGAGTGATGAAGGTGAGCATGTTTCTGTGGGCGGCGCTGGTGCTGGCGGCGGGCCGGGGCGCGGCCGCCGAGTCCTTCCTGAGCAACATCAGCCGCAACCTGCGCTCGGAGCTGTCGGGCGTCATGGAGATGGCCACCGTGAGCTACTCGGAGCCCGCCATCAACACCACCTACGTGGCCACGGTGGAGTTCGACATGCGCGCCATGGGCTCGCTGTACAACTCCACGCACCTCGTCATCGACTTCATCGCCAACAAGCAGGCCTACCCTGAAGGTAAGCCTCTCTTTGTTCAGTAAATTAAGTTGTTTTGTCATCTTACAGGGGGTTCAAGCTTTAATGCAATAGACCTAACTGTATGTTTATTATTCTAATTGTTTCTAAATGAAATTATTGCAATTCGTTTATATTTACTAACGACTCTGCTATGTCTGTTGCCTAATTCATGTCATTAATATTTAGTAATAATAGTACCCCAAACGCTGCTGGTGTAATATGATATTTCCATACAATAGACCAGTACAATGGTGCCACAGCTTTCCGATAAATATATTAAGAGCCGTAACAATGCACCGCTGCAACACAATCAGCAATCAGTTCTGTCAACACTAAGAACAACTTGATAGTAAAGTCTGACCTGCCCTTGATATGGGCTTCATCTCATTCAAAATTTATCAATAAACGATTTGCAATATAATAGAATGAGTGATATGAGTTCAGTTAAAAGTAAATAAAACTTGTAGAAAATGCTATTCAATAGCTAACAAAATGCTTTACTTGTTAGACATCATTACATTAACTAATGGTTTGTTTCTTTCTTCATCTTAGAATAAAAAAAAAACAACTCATTTGGATAATGACATAGTAGTTCCAAATATCACATTAATTATTTTGTTTGAAGTGTTACTATTACTTTTTTTTCTAGATTGTTGATTGTAGAGATGGTTTAGCCAGACACATTGTCTGTCTTGTTGTGGTATTCATGGCATATTTTGGCAGGATTTATAATTTCCATTCATATCTTTTTGTGTCCAATCTTGTCAGAAAATTAAACATAGACTTAATTAATTTATTTTTTTATTTTAATGAGCAACATAATAAGCTTACAGAAAACTTTAATGTTCAGACATGTTGGTATACATTTATTCCACAACCTGCCTTCTACAGTAATGACTACTGTATCTGATATAAGGATGTTATTTAGGATGATGATAAGGATGTTATTTTGTAAGCAGCATTTATAACCCTCTCAAATATTTATTTTCAATTTATAAACATTACTGTCAAATGGCATGAGTCTTTGTTGTTGAAATTAGCTGTGATAAGCTGATCAACAGACAGACATGTCACATGATGTGGTAGCTTTAAAAATAGTGTAATAATTGTTTTTTTAGTCTTTAAGTAACAAACAAAAATTATTAATTTGTATGTTCATTCGAATGACAAATGACTCAATGACCTTGCGTGCCCAACATGCCTTCTCATTGTAGTTTTATTCTGTGGGGTGGCACTAGAATAACAGGAGTAGGACATTATTTCTGTACATCCGTCGCCGACGCGGCGCCCCGCTCGTTCACACATGGAAATAAGACGGGCTGCACTTGTCTGATGCTTATGATGTCTGTGTACTATTGTCTTATGATTTAGTTAAGATTCCTCGTAATGTCCTAACAAGCAGAATGATGAGAAAGGATGGTGACAAATTATCGCGATACAATGCGCGTGAGTCGGTCGCGTTTGCCACTGTAGAGGATGAGGTCGTGTGCGTCGCGTAAGACACCTATTCTGCAACATCTCTATATTTTGTCTCACTTATCCCGAAGTGCCTGGAGTGCGTGAAAGAGATGAATAGAGTCGGGAAACAGTTAATCGAAAATGTCTCGTCTTGAGTAGGGTCGTCGCGTGTCGCGGCCGTCGACCTGCGCGGCCGCACTTGCGGTTAGGGCTGGCTGGCTGCTGGCTGACACGCTGTAAACAAATAGAAGCGGTGTAGGTTACAGCTTCATTCACTTGTCTGCCTGAGGGAGGAATCTTCGAATGAATAAATCATTAATTCGAAGTTTTAGTTCATCATTTATAACAGTAAGGATAGGTATTGATATCACAGTTCAGTCATGCATGACATTCACATGACACATTGGTCCATTCCATGGTATACTCGTATACCTACTTACTTTACTACAGTCTATTTTATTAATTTATCCTGTACGTTTTGTAATTCCACTAAGCTAGTGGCAATTTAATGTATTTTGTTATATTTGTTGGCACTCACACTCAAGTAATAACACGAGCACAAGATCAAACCATTGCGTTTTCCTCGTCGTATTTCCGCCGGCGGATTCCGACGGGATGCGCTCTAATTCTTATTGCTCCTGCTTGTTTGTCGTTTCTTTTGTTCTGCGCAGGGGCAGGGGCGACAGTACACCAACAAGGTAGCAAATATGTGACCTATTGTTCGCTACAATCGAAGCAGTGAAGTCCAAATACGATAACATATTTTTTCTTTTGATGCCACAAACTCGGCGGGAGATATCTGCATGACAATTAACGGCTTGGAATTGGCTCGTTTATTTTAAGAATTCCACAATCTCATGCGCTCGATGGAGCAGTGAGCTGGTGGAGTGTACTACTGGTACCTACTAGCAGCTTAAGTCCTAACTGTTTATCGTCATTCGTAATTTGATCACGTTCTCGTATACCGTAACATAAGATAACCGTCTCATTTATATGTTGACGTTACTTTTCTATGGAAATTTATAATGTGATTTTACTTTCTTTATTTATAAACAATAACAAATGTTGGCTTCTTGAAGCAGTGATTCATAAAACATTCTTCGTATCTTGCGTTTCATTGTCTCGCCATGTATATGAACAAAAAACTAGTTTAAAAATGATAATCCTAACAGCTGTTATTTGCCCCTTTATTAGTATCTCGCAGTTAATACGTAAAATCCGCTAACCGACGGTGCTCCAGCCTAACCCAGCGCAAATGTACTATTAGCACGACATGTAGTACCGCAACACGGTCTATGTAGATCACACACCGACAGATTTAATATCCGCCGGCAGCTCCGTGCTCCGTGTAGAACACGCGCACTTATACTCTAAGACATGATAAATTGGCTCAATCTTCTTGTAGCTACCCAAGTCCCGGTGCATGCTGGTCCCGGAAAGTTTTCCATTTTACCACTATCCGACTTTCTTGTTTCAATACGGCGCACAGTGATTCGAGTAGAACAAGCTAGCTGGAAAATATTATTTTTTTACTTTAATGGGTTTAATACACGCATTACTTACTTTTTTGTGCAATTTGAGATTAATTAGGCTTGTTATTATAATTATTATAGGTAGGTTTGAAAAAAAAAATTTTTTTGGTAATAAAATATTTATTTCCTAAAATCAAGAGAAACAGACTAAAAAGGAAAGAAGAAACTAACTTTACAGTATAATAATAATTGGTCTTATGATGTATTAGGTGTTAAAGTATGAAATTCCCGTATTTTATGGAGAATTTAATGAAAATAAATTTTTCGATATAAATATTTTTGCGATTTATATGGAACAAAGAATCTCAGTTTTTTTTTAATTTAGTGGGTAGACTGGGACAACATTAATGACTTGCCAAGTTGCTGTGGCCAGCAGACATTTGCGCTGCAGCTTCAGCAGCCAATATCAGTTCTCAAGTACTTCTTGAGGAAATGAGGTCTAAAAGTCTTCTTCTTTTCGTCTTTTTGCTGGACTCGTCGAACTCTTTGAGTGGTCGTCCAGGTGTAGAATCTTTCGACGTGGAAGACTGAACTTTATGAACAGAAACATGTAACACTATGGCTCCGGGAATCCACTCAGTTTTGTTTTTCATGAAGCGTTCCCTGTTTTGCCGTATTTCGTCCATTGAAATCAAATTGAAATGCGACTGATGCTATTCTTCAACTCTCTCAGCGATTTTTCGTGATCCCAATACATCACATTTTGAGAATATAAATTAAAAATCATGCTATTCTGGTCACTTTTTCTATGTTTTAATCATTAATCAAAAAACTTGATTTTTTATTAATCTGAAAAAATAAAATTGTTGTGCAAAAGTGTGCAAACTGAAACTGGTATATTTGAATACTAGAGGATTACAGCTACAATATACAGGGTGTTTCTTGTAAGGTGTCAAGCCGAAGGCAGGTGATAGGTGAGGACTAGACCTATCGATTTCACTCCCATGTATGTTCTACGATTTTTCATAGTTTAGAAGTTATCGTTAATTTTGTGATTTTTTCAAATTTTATGACCTAGTAGGCTTTAATTTTTTTTATCTTTTTTTTGAGTTGACTTTTCTCAGATTTCTTTTTGTTGACAGATTCCCTATTAGTTGCAGATATTTGAAAAAAATAATCACCTTCCTATCTTTGATGCAAAATACAAAATCTTTGCTAGAAACATAAAAAATATGCTTTTAGCAGAACATTCTAAAATTTTCAATTGAAATGTATGAGAAAAAAAAGAATTCCCATAGGTCCAAAATAATTTTAAAAACTGCGCAGTTTTCTAAACTTTCATAATAACACAAAAAAACATTTACTTAATAGGCCATTATTTTCTGTAATCGCTCTACTAAAGTGGTAAGTCGGAGATTCCGTTACATGTTTTTGACTTTCTTAGGACTTAGTAATATTTGCAATCCCCTAAGTTTACGTTATGTAGAACACATTTAGAGACAATAACTGAAAAGTTTTTTTTATCCACAACGTGGAAGCTCTTGCTCTTCATGTGGTATACAAAAGGGAATATAAAAATGTTGATGATAAACCATATTAGAATGCAAGAAGCTTTGTAAATATACGAATAATTGTTTTGCGTCGTTGTCGAATGTGCATTCAGGTCAGTGACGGACATTTACTTTAAATTAAATCATTACACCCTTTTTTGCTCTCTCTCTCTCTCTCTCTCACACACACAGACACACACACACACACACGCGCGCGCGCGCGCACACACACACACACACACACACACACACACACACACACACACACACTCACACACTCATATACACACTCACACACAAACTCTTTCTCTTTCCATTCACACTCTAATAGGTAGGTATATCAAATTTAATCGTAAAGTAAAAATCACCACTGTGGTCTAGTGGTAAGACTACCTATTTAGGACAGCCAATTCCTCTGTGGTTTAGGATTCCGGGTGAAGCTCGCTGATCATCCAGCAGTTTCCAATTTTCCATCAGGTCAGATGAAGGACAAGAGCTTCCTCGTTGTGGATAAAAAATG